CGGCAGTAGGAATTACAGGTGGTAGGACTAATCACACAGCCAGTAGTGTCCTGGTGCCCTCTTGCCGTCCTTGAACATTCCAGTGGTGCCTCCTTTCTGTTTAGCAAGGGTTCCCTTCAGTCAAGCCTTGTAAAGCCAGTGATGTAGTTGATCCAGCCATCCCATGTGATGTCCATTCAAAAGAAATAACTAGGAATATGGACTGAGTTTTATGCACAAGTGTTTCCATGATCATGTTGCTTGTGATGCTGAACATCAAAAGCGATACAAACATTCTGTACATTTTTCAACTAAAATCATACTTCAAAATTTTTATTCAGACTTCAGACCTAATTAGAAAGATGGAACATGAAAGTGCACAACAAATTACGGTACATGTGATACACTTTTAATCTGACACAAATGTGTAGAATCTCTGGAAGAGTACTGTTACCAATTTCTTAAAAGTAACTCCATGGAGGTGATTGCACACAGAAAGGATTTATTATGTAACATCCCCATCATGCTCCAGAGATCATTCAAAGGTACACATAGTTCAGAAAGATGGAATTCTTTAAATAGGGGACTCCAAAGAAGCCAGGAGCACATAACCCACCGATGGCATTTGCTTCCAAAATGTCTGCCGAACAGTTTTAGGTGATTGCCTGGAGGTAACCTACAGTTTTGGTTCTGAAGAACTGTCTACCACCGACGGTCATCTGATACAAAGATAAGAAGCACCAGCTGCTCAGGATAAGCCTGTGGACAGAAACAAACCTTCCCTGTTGGACCCTCAAGGGTGGGGCACTGAGAGAGTATTGAACACTTTCTCTGAGGACAGTCTTTCAGCAAATAGGATCACATATTTTACAGAACTGTTTCCACAGTTATGCTTCAGACATTAGGCAGGAGGCTTCCAACCATAGGCAGCTTCCCTCCAAGGAAACCTCATGGCAGCAGGTTCTCAGGCCTTCCTGTGAGGCTTGGCGTGAGAAGAGGAGCAGGCCCGGAGTCTGACGCTGGCCTGTCTGGGACCAAATGCATCATCCTTCTGGCCAACTTTGCTAGCTGTTTTCCTGGCTAGAATTTGTGGTTGTTGTCATGTAGCAGTGGGTCTTGAAGCTATTCCACCATAGTCCTTGGAGTACAGGTTGACCACCTCTCCTAGGGAGTATGCCAAGTCTGATGATAGATTTTCTTTTTTAATGATGATATGAGCTGGAACAATGAGCCCCTTTCATTTTCCTTTCTCCAAAATCCTCTCATACTCCAGCCCTTCTGGGAAGGAACAGTGAGGACCACCAAGGGGCATGTTCCCCCCAGTTGTTGGGCCCCTGGCAGAAAAGCAAATGTCCCTGAGTTTCTCATGCAGGAAACCACAACAGGCAAGACAGAACTTAGCAGAAGACAGTTCTGCCTGCCTCAGAACGGCTGCTGTTGGAGGAATGCTGTTGCACCCCGACCAACCGGCCTGCGCCTGTGTGGCGGAGAGACCGGCCGGCCTCTGTAGAGGGCTGATGATTGCTTCTTGTGGAAGTGGTGTGCTGCTCCCAGAGCCCAGGAGAGCCATGTATTGTATGTTTGTTACTGGGCATTCTCTTATACACGATTTGTGTTCCCCTGTGCTATTTTGGAGAAAGGCGTATTTTTTTACAACTTTTATAAATGTCTTTATTACACATTTTAAAACACTTCTCTAAATGCATTATGGAAGAGTTTTACAACCATTCCTTGAATTAACACTCTTGTCAAAGTACCAGGACCTTCATACAATCATCATTAATACATGTTTTTAAACACTAATCTTAAATGCATTTAAGGATGACAAACATGTCCCTTCTCTTAAAAAAACAAAACATGGTTCTTTTCCTACAGGTGGGTATAGATGTTTTAAATTTTGTTGTTACAGTTAGTTTTAAACACTGTACATGCATCATGGAAGACCCAGCAGACCCATTCCCAGAGGTAACACTCTTCTCAAAAGTTTCCTGCATGTACAGAACTCATAAGCACCGTTACTACACGTGTTTTTATCACTTCTTTTAAGAGAAAGGCATTTTTATGATTATTCAAATTCCATTTCGATTTTCATCATTAGTGGGAAGCATAGCTTTGAATTGTGGGAATACGATGGAGTGAAGAAAGCATAGGCTCGATTCCTGATTATATCATTTAGTTGGCCCGAGTCCTTGCTTATTTTACTTTAGTCGCTTCGAGCCACTCTTTGTTATCATTGCTGTTTTTCATTTCTTTCCTTCCAATGCATAAATCTGCAGGCTCTGAGAATTGCTCACCTTGAAAATTCAGAGTACGTTCGGTTATTCCTTCAATGGCCACTGGGAGGCAGCACAGCCACACTTTTGCATGGTGATTGGGGGCCCCATTCCTTTAGTGTTAATAACTCACTTAAAGGAAATGATACGTATGTTAAACGTTTGATTTGTGGGTTAAATATTTGAAGGAAATTATACATATATAACTAGAAGTTTTTAAATAGGCACATATATGTGTATGTGTGTATATACATATACAAACATCTACATCTATATTTGTATCTATACACACACAATAGTATCTAGTTAAAAATGTCTTTCATGACAGCTACAGACATTGACTAAATCTTGCAATATTTAAGGTTATTTTAATGACAGAATTAAAATATGATAAAAAGAATTTGTAAAACAAAGAAAATCACCAAGTATGGACTACAGTTTTGATAACACACAGACCAAAGAGAATCAATGTTGGTAAATTGGTATGAATCATGTACATGTGTCTGTGTGTGTAGACACACATGTGTATGTCTGTGTGTGCCCACACCTACTGTCCTGTCATTTTTGAGTAATCTTATTCTCTGAAAACTATCCTGTAAGTAGCTTTATAATTTAAAACATATTGAAAGTGTTTTCCCCTGTTATTAAATATTTTTCTGAAACTTCACGATCTGCCACATTCTATCATGTGGGTATCCTGTCATTGTAAGTCTCTAAGAACAATTCATGACATTTCCACTTCTTCCCCTGTGATAAACAACATTCTCATGAAAGCACATACGATTATATCCTTTGGACAAATTCCAGGAATTCACTAAAACATAAGGCTTGGGATGCATATTTCCAAGTTCTCTAAAAAACTGTAGGAACAGTGGGAGAAGAGATCATTTGTATTCCTTCCTGTCTGACACCATATATGTGAAACTGAAGATGGAGTGCCAACCCATTTGCAACCTGAGATGTGATGAGCAAGCAGTGTTTAACAGTTTCTCATTCCAGGATTTCTAGTAACATCAGCTTTTCTTCTTTCTCTGTGGGTAATGAGTCTTACAGACCAATGTATGCACTGACCTGACTGCGAATGACCTTTGTAATCTGGGGCCACGGGAGGGCTTGCACACTGTCCCTCTTACCTCTGTCTCCCCGTCAGGTGCGCACCTCCACACCCCCTCAGCTCCCTCAATCACTGAAAACCGAAACCTCTCTGAGATGTCTTCCCAGGGTCCCCTGCTCCCCGTCAGCCTGCTGCCCCCTGACTCAGCTCCGGCTCCTCTGCTTTGCAGCACCCTGAGCAACCTTCGTCAGAGCATTTGCAATGCTGCATTTGATTTCCAGTTGAACTCTGGGGAAAAGGATCACGTGTAGAACATGCTTGACTCCGGGTAACTCTGTACATCCCGTGTAACCCCAGAGCCTGGCCCCTGGGCGGGCCCTTGAGAGAAACTGACTGCACATCTGCACAGGAAGGAGTCAATGACAGTGGCATGAAAGAGACTACCTTTCCTTAATCATGGCTATTTCACTTCTTAGACGTTAGTTTGAGGGACTGAGAAGGGAGACCTAGAGATTTCTCCTTCACAGACATTCGCGGTGCTTAGGTTTCTGCCAGTTTTATAAAGATTCATGTTGATGTTTGGCCAACAAATTGTACTTGTGCAGTACAAATTAGGACATTTTAATACATATTCCTTGCATATTTAGTTTAAAACATGACTGTAGTTATCCTGTATCAATTCAGTCTAGTCAGTCCATTTTGGACTAGCAGGCATGCATTTCATGAAGAACTACCTCATCCTTTTGAAATGGGTCCTCCTCAGCATGTTTCTGTCCCCTGAGGTCCTGGCCCCTCAAGGCTGTCAGACGCACTCTGTCCTAGTGAGAAAGAAGACAGGCTTCCCTTTTGAGGCATGGACCTTCTTGGAAATAAGCCACCTACAAGCGAAGGGCCACACCTCCTACAAGGTTTCCAGAATCTCTAAGGGCCTCTCCTCAGAGGGGTGGGTAGGAGGCCCTTGGTAGAAAGTTCCAGGTGATGGCTGACTAAGGTCTCAGCCCCAGGTGCCAAGTTCCAGCCTCACAGAGGTAGAGTCGAGGCTTCAGTAATGTCTGAATCAAAAGAACCACTTGAGCTGGTCTGCCAATTACTTCTCAAGTTGTAAATGGCCTTTACTCTGTGTCAGGTGCTTCAGGAATAAAAACTCATAACACCCTAAGAATTTGACATCAACATTATACCCATTCATAGATGACAAATTAGACTGTCACTAAAGCCCAAATGCCTAAACACACCTGCTTATACCTAATTTAATATAATGTCGAAAAAAACAGAATAGGGAACTATGAACTTTATTTGTCCACCTCCACCAGGTGGCGCCATGCCTGCTCAGGATAAAGAAAGTTCACGAGGTGTCTGATACTTTACAGGTCCTAGTAAAGCCCTGGTGTCACTCAAAGACTTGCGGGGAAAGTAAACTGCTGCATTTCTGGAACCTGTTTCCATGCTCAGAGTCAAGAAGTATGTCCTTAGCCCCACACCCTCCCCAGCATGCAACCAGCCTGCACCAACCACCAAGCTATTGGGTCACCAGAACACTGACTTAAACTCAAGGGGCTGCTAAAAATGTCCTCCCCTCCCTTCTCCTGGAAAAAAAATTAATAACCAGCTATCATAATATGAACTAAGGTTATGGTGCTTTGGCTTGTGAACTTGGTTGTCTCAGCTCATGCATACTGTCTCTATGCTTTGAGTCTGAGACGATCCATGAATAGCGGCCAAGTTCCTTAGGTAGTGAGCAATTCAGAGGGGCCAATGTCTTGGTGATGTGGCCCCTGCAGTGAGGATTTCTGTATTTACTCTGAGAATAATTAGGACTTTGCCTGATGCTTATGGAGAAAGAAAAAGTGACAGGGTCCTTGACACTTAAAATATCCTCCAAGTGGCCTGGCGTCACGAGTTTTTTATTTTCTATGTTATCTGTACTGCCCAGAACAGTAGCCACTAGATACATATGGCATGTTAAAAAGTGAAATAAAATAAAAATTCAACTCTTCAGTAATAGTAACCATATATCAAGAGGTCAATGGCTAGAAGTGAAGAATGACTTCAGTGTTGGACAGCACAGATACTGGACGAGTGTCATCCCGGAAAGGTCATTGGGAATCCTGCCTGATTTGACAGAAGCAGAAACATTCCTTAGGGGGTGTGTTTTCCCGTTGACCTTGATGAGAGCTGTGCACACGGTACATACGCCAGCAGTAGTCAGCTGCTTTCCCCTGCATCACATATGAAGGAGGGGTGACAGAGGGTGCCAGGAATCCTTGGACTTCAATAACATTTATAAATAGTTTGAGGAAAGTGAAGATATTTATGCTACAAGCTTTTACTTATATATCTACTTTCCAGTTTTAATGACATAGAATTGATGTGTAAAGCTGTATAAGTTTTAAGGTATATAAGTGTGTTGATTTGATACATTTATATATTGCAAAATGGTTACCAACATAGCATTAGCTAACACCTCTATCATAGCACATAAATAATCATTTCTCTTTTTTGTGTGAAAATATTTAAAATCTATTCTCTTAGCTACTTTCAAGTATATAACAGTACCATTAACTCTAGTCACCATGTTGTACATTAGATTTCTAGCACTTACTCATCATATAACTAGAGGTTTGTAGCCTTTGACCAACATTTCCCTATTTCCCCCAACCCCAGCCCCTGGCACCCACCACTTTTCTCTGTATTTTATCAGTTTAGCTCTTGTAGATTCCACATTTAAGTGGTATCATATAGTATTTGTCCTTCTTTGTCTGATTTATTTCATTTAGCATAATATCCTTGAAGTTTATCTATGTAAGCACAAATGGCAAGATGTCTTTCTTATGGCTAAATTATATGTGTGTGTGTGTGTATTTTTTATTTATTAATCACATCTTCATCCATTCGTCCATGTATTAGCCATGAACGTGGGGGTGCAGATACCTCTCTGAGATCCTAGCTTCATTTCCTTTGGATATACACTGAGAAGTAGGATTGCTGGATCATACGGTAGCTCTATTTTAATTTTATTGAGGGATCTTCATACTGTTTTCCATGGTGGCTGAAACAATTTATATTCCTACCAACATTGCACATGGGTTCCTTTTTCTTCACATCCTTATCAATGCTTTTTATCTCTTGTCTTTTCTATGATAGTCATTCTAAGAGGTGTGAGGTGACAGCCCATTGTGGTTGTGATTTGCGTCTCCCTGATGATTAGTGATGTGGAGCACCTTTTCATGTGCCTCTTATCCATTTGCACGTCTTCTTTGGAAAAATGTCTTATATGTTCCTCTGCATATTTTAAAACTTGGATTGTCTAGTTTTTGCTGTTGAGTAGTGTGTGTTCTTAATATATTCTGGAAATTAACCTCCTACCACTTATATGAGTTACAAGTATTTTCTCCCATTCCATAGGTTGCCTTTTAGTATAGATTATTGTTTCTTTTGATGTGCAGAAGCTTTTAGGTGATACAGTCCTACCTGTTACTTTTGTTTTTATTGCTTGTGCTTTTGCTGTCATATCCAAAAATACAGTTGCCAAAGTCTGCTATCAAGGAACTGTTCACGTACGCTTTCTTCTACCAGCTTTTTGGGCTCAGGTGGTAGGTTTAAATCTTTAATCCATTACTAGTAAATTTTTGTGAGTGTTAGAAGATAGGGATCCAATTTCATTCTTCTGCATGTGGTTATCCAATTTTCTCAACACCACTGAAGAGATTTTCTGGGTAAGTATACTTGATTCTCCGGTCAAATATTAATTGATTATATATCCTAGAGTTTATTTCTGAACTCTTGATACTGTTTCATTGGTCTATATGTTTACTTTTGAGTCAATACCATAACTGCTTTGATTACTACAGCTTGATAGTATAGTTGAAATCTGGAGCTTTGTCTTTCTTGGGATTGTTTTGCCTACTTGGGGGTCTTTTGTCATTTCATATGAATTTTAGAAGTTTTTTTTCTATTTCTGTGAAAATGCCATTAGAATTCTAACTGGGATTGCACTGAATCTGTAGGTGGCTTTGGGTAATATGGACACCTGTAACAATATTGATTCTTCTAATCCATGAATGAGGGTTATTTTTCCATTTCTTTGCATTTTTTCATTCAATTTCCTTCATCAAAGTCATGTAATTTTCAGTGTATAGGTCTTTCACCTCCTTGCTTAAATCTGTTCCTATGTATTTTCTTGTTTTATGCTATTGTTAATGGGATTATTTTATTTTATTTTCAGGTGTTTCACTGTCAGTATATAGAAACACAACTGATTTCTGTATGTTGACACTGTATTCTGCAACTTTCCTGAATTTATTGATTCGTTTTAACAGTTTTTTTGTCTGAACGTTTAGGATTTTCCCCATATGAGATCATTTCATCTGCAAACAAAGATAATTTTACTTCTTTTTTCCTTATTTGGCTGACTTTAATTTCTTTTTCTTGACTGATTGCTCTGGCTAGTGCACCAGTGCTATGTTGGGTAGGAGTGGTGAGAGTGATCCCTGCTATCATGTTTCTGATCTTAGAGGAAAAGCTTATAAACATTGACCACTGAGTATGCTACCTTTGGGTTTGTCACATGGCCTTTATTATGTTATGTTCCTTCTATACCGAATTTGTTGAGTATTTTTATCACGAAAGGATGCTGTATTTTTTCAAATGCTTTTACTGCATCTATTGAGGTGATCATATGATTTTTATCTTTCATTTTATTAGTATGGTGCATCATATTATGGATTTATATATGTTATTATTTGTATCCCAGGAATAAATCCTGCTTGATCATGATGTATTATCCTTTTAATATGCTCTTTAATTCCTTCTGCAAATATTTTGTTGTAAATTTTTGCATCTGTGTTTGAAAGAGATATTAGTCTGCAGTTTTCTTTTACTGTCATTATAAGCCTTCATAGGGTAATATTGGTCTTGTAAAATGATTTTGAGAGTTTTTCCTCTTTATTTTATTGGAAAAGTTTGAGAAAAAGTAGTGTTAATTCTTCTTTAAACCTTTGGTAGACTTCACCAGTGAAACCATCATGTCCTGAGATATTTTTTTGCAGGGTGGGGGACATTGATACTGATTCAGTCTCATTACTTCTGCTCAGATTTTTTATTTCTTCCTGATTCAGGCTTAGTAGATTGTATGTTCATAGGAATTTATCCATTTCTTTTAGGTTTCCAGTTTTTTGCCAGGTAATTATTTGCAGTATCTCTTACAATCCTTTGTATTTCTTTGGTAGCAGTTGTAATATCTCTTTCATTTGTTTTTATTTGAGTCCTCTGTTTATTAGTCTTAGCAAAGATTTGCTGATTTTATTT